GGGGGCCCCGGGCGGGCCGTCGACGCGGGAAGGGCGGGAAGTTCGCGGGGTCCCCGCGGGCTCCTCCGGCTCGGCGGGGGCTGCCCTTTGTTTACAAGCCCGCGGGGGAGCAGGGCTGGGTGGCCTCCCGCCCGGGACCCTCCCGCGCCCGTTTGTGGCACGCGCCCCCGCCCCGGCTCAGTCCTTCCCGGCCGGGCCGTGTGGGAGGCGCGGGACGCGAGCACTCCCCCCACCGTCCATATTTTCCCCGCTGTAACCTGAGCTTTCTGTGGATGGATGTGGGGTTTCTTTTTCTTTCTTTCTTTCTTTTAATGGGAGGGAGGGGATTGGGCATCCCCGGGAGGGGCTCCGGTCGCAGCTGCTCCCCAGCCCCGGCTCCCCTTTCCGTCCGGACTCACTGTTTCTTTCCTTCCCCTCCCGGTGCCCCGGCCCGCGCTCGCCCGGCGCCAGCCACATTGTTCTGCGTCTCCGGCTGTGCGCTGTTCCCTCGGCCTCCCCTTCCTTGCGTCCTGCACCGCCTTCCCTTCCCTCCCTGGCTCCGCGCCAGGGTTTGGGGGATTCCCTCTCTGCAACTTCGCGTCTTACTGGGATTTGTTTTTCTCCCAGGTGGAGACTGTAGGAGTCCTCTTGTGGCTGCGTTTTAATGGGCGGGGAGGCGGTTCAAAGTGGCACTTTCCCTTGGGTTTGAGGTTAGGGCGCTGGCTTCCAGGGCCCCAGCCTCCAGGACCAGTTCACTCAGGCAGCTTTCTCAAGTGGCCTGGTCATTGCCTGGTGACTGATGGCGCCCTGCTCTTTGCTTTTGCAGACATAACAGCTGGGAGCCAGAGGAGAACATCTTGGACCCGAGGCTGCTCCTGGCCTTCCAGAAGAAGTGAGAAAGTTACCAGCACACGTGGGGAGTGGGAGAGTGTGTTGGGTGGAGACAGGGACAGGGCACACTGGGTGCTGCAAAAGGCTGGAGCTGTAGTCAGGTCCTGTAGCAAGACTGTCCCCTGGGCCTCTAGTGCCATCTCTATGGCTGTCTGCAAAGGTGGAGCACATTCAGGTCCCCAGTCAGTTCCTGAGTAAGTGCTTTGGTCTTTCTGACAGCCAGGCTTGCAGAAATGACCTTTCTAATTTTTCTCCTAAAAAAGGCTCTGGCTTCCCTTGGCCTTTGCTGTTGACTAATTTCAGACAGGACTCATAAAAACGAGGATGGTAGGATGGCTGTAGAAACGTAGGCCTCTTTCCAGCCCTGGATAAGCGAGCTGTTGGCTAAGAGAAGGCTCAGAGAGGGGCTGGGACACACAGCACACAGCTACGCTTGTCATGGTGTGTCTCTGTCAAGAACAACACATTGGTTTTGCTCTGGGCTGCAAAAGATAGCACTGTGGGGGCCCCTTTGCCAGTGTCAGGCAGATCTGCTTCTGTAATTCTAGATGTCACTTCTATTCTTAGATAGGAGACTCGGCTTAAGAGATAGGCCTCCTTGAGGTGTCCAAATGGAAGGAGTGGTGAGGGGACATGGTGAACATGCCCACTTCATCCCAGTGCAAAGGTCCAGGGAGTGCTGTCAGTGAATATAATAGCAAGATGTGGGTAGTACAGTAGTCCCCCCTTACCCGACGTATCAGTCAGCTGCAGTCCAAAAATATTAAATGGAAATTTCCTGAAATAGGCATTTCAGAAGCTTTAAGCTGCACGCCGTTCGGAGTTGTACCACGTGAATCGTTTCTTGGTCTGGCATATTTGCACTGCCTACCTGCCCTTCAGTCGCTTGCTAGCCCTCTCCGTTATCAGATCTGCTTCCAGGGTACCACCATGCCTGTGTTCATGTCACCTTATTTTACTTAATAATGGCCCCGCAGCACAAGAGGAGGGATGGTGGCAGTTCAGACAGGCCAAAGAGAAGCTGCGAAGTGCTCCCTTGAAGTGAACAGGTGAAAGTTCTTGACTTAATAAGGAAAGAAGGAAATCGTATGCTGAGTTTGCTAAGATCTACCATAAGAACAAGTCTGTCCATGAAATTGTGAGGAAGGAGAGAAAAATCCGTGCTGTATTTGCTGTCTCACCTCCCGCTGCACTTTACAGCCGGTGTGTGATACATTTGGGGAGCTAGTTCATTCTCTGCAGTTACAACAGCATCTTAACTCTTGAGAGAGGGTGCGTCCTTAGCCTCACTTTTGATAATAGCAGAGCAGTTAAGACCAGAAATACAAGAGTTGAAAAACCATGGAATAATCTGGGTTATATCAAGGAAGAAAGAAAACTGGGAAGGTGAATGTTTGTGCTTTCTTCCACCAAAAAGATAGATTCCTCTGGGTACTAGGAGCTGGCAGTTATTGGGGGAGGAGGCGGGGCATGGCCTTTGCACGGAAGGGAAAACTGCAGATTCTCAGCATGCAGTGCACCAGTGAATCTTAGCAGAGGAGACCCAGGAGATAACCCCTTGTCCTTTTAGGAGATTGGGAGGTGAGGGTCTAGGCTTCTTTGGAGTATGAGTTTTACCTGGTTGTGCTAATCAGATTCTTTGAGAGATTGCCTTCCAGGCCCCAATGAGATGATGTTTACCTGTTTTAATTACCGGGTATCTTCTTAGGGCCCCTTCCTGTGGGGGTAGCCTGCAATACAAGCTTTCTCATGGGGGGCCCCCAAGGCACGGGGGCTGCTTAAGGGAATATTGCTGTTGGTGCTGGCTTTGGCCCTGGCTGCTTCAGAATTGAACCCCTCTGTTACTTCCATCAAGAACAGAGTTTAGGAACAGAGAAGTACTAGAAAAGGGAGACGGGAGAGTTGTGAGCTGGCTGCACTGGCTCCAGGAAGACTGGCGGGCACAGCAGGACTGGAGCCTGGAGCCTTTGGTGCTTGGGGACCAGGTGAGGGATTCTAGCTGGCAGGTTGTCCTGGGCTTCTTTCTGCTTAAAGTGAGGAGCTTGGACCGTGTCATCCCAAAGATTGGTTCTTGTTACAATATGCTTTAGTTTCCACCCTAAGACAGGTCAGAGAAGGCTGGCTTTAGCTAAGTTGGTTAGAGCACGCTTTTATAACACTAAGGTCCAGGGTTCAGTCTTACTAGCAAGCTGCAAAAAAAAAAAAAAAAAAGTCAGAGAAAACTGGAGAACTATCCATTTCCCAGCTTTGCCTTAATTCGTTTGACTTGTCCTTACCCAGAGGCAAATGAAATGAGATGGCTATGAAAATATTACATAAAATTGCAAAGAATTGCAATATGCATAGAATTGCACATTACGAAGAATGGGGTCTGGACCTCTGTCTTGGGTGTGTATTTATGCAGCAAAGCTGATAATAAGCTGCTGCAGACTGGAGCATCAGGGAAGCAGATGGGAGCCACATGGGAGTGTTTGGAGCCCTGGGGTTCCCGTGGGGTGGGAGGGGGGTTGTGTGCCACCCTGATTGGTGATGTGTCCTCAGGGAACAGGAGAAGGAGGTGCAGAACCGGAAGAGAGGCAAGAGGCCCAGGGGCCGGCCAAGGAAGCACACGGTGATGTCCTCCTGTAGCCGGCGCGCCAGGCTCAAGGTGTGTGGCTGCTCGCCTTCCAGCGCCTGCTCTGGGCAGGAGGAGGCAGAGGGAAGGTTTGAGGACTCTCAGGAGGCAGGGGAGGGTACTCCTGCAGAAGTCTTTCCGCCTGCTGGGAAGGCAGGCACCTCCCTTCCTGCTGTCTCTCTCTGCCTCTGCCAGTGGGGGGCGCCAGCAGGCTGCAGAATTCTCCCCCTGCGCTGAGCCCCCTCCTGAGCTGGCTTCCCGCTTCAGCTGGTGACCGTTCTGCACTCCTTTCTACTGGGTAGCAGGGGCAAACTTGGCTGCTGACTGTGACTCCTCCTCATCCCCAGGGGCTTATCAGGGAATGGATTAGAGCAGGGAGTACATGTACAGCAGGTGCTCATAGACTTGCTGCGTAGATGCAACTGACAGGGCAGCTGGTTAAGCCAAGGATGTCGGCCACTCCAGGCCCACCTCTGAATGCACCTTAAATCAAGGTGGCTCAGCAGTGCAGGGCTGGCAATGGCGGGGTACAGCAGGGATGGCCTCGGGGGAGGGCAGAGGGCAGTGTGAGGGGGCGAGGGGCTGGTCCTGTGCTTGTGCCTTCTCAGAGATGCCCTGCTGCCCCTCTCTTCCCCACTGCGCACATGTGCGAGCGCACACACCCAGGGTCCGAGACACTGCGCCTCCCTCCCTAGCAACAGGTCAGAGGCAGGATGTCCTGGCCTCGTCTTGGATGAGTCTTTCCTCTCCGTCCAGACGCTGACAGGCTGTGGCCACAAGCTCAGTCACTTACAAGAACCGTCTCTCCGAGGGGCCGTGGGATTCCCTGCCTTAGTCTTGTTAGCTGGTCCCACTGGCTTCGTTTCTGTCTTCAAAGTTTTCCTTTCCAGCAGGAAAGTGGGGCTGCAGAAGACCTGCTGACTGAGAAATGATTTCCATGGGGTGACAAGGGGTGGCATCGAGGCAGTGCCAAGGAGCCCTCAGGCCCTCCAGGTCGATGGGGTGGTCCCCCTTTGGAATCAGGAGAGCTTTGCGGCAGGAACCTGGCACTGGCTGTTTCCCTAAAGCGTACCTTTTAAAATTCTGACCCGGCAGGCCACATGGGTCCTGTGGACACAGGAAGGTGCACTTCCTTACCATTTGGGGTGACACCCAGGAAACAGGGAGGGCTTTGGCGTGCCGACCTGGGTACAGAAGGCTCGGGAGGGGTGGGATTTGGAAGAGGGGAGATCCTTACCATTTGGGGTGACACCCAGGAAACAGGGAGGGCTTTGGCGTGCCGACCTGGGTACGGAAGGCTCGGGAGGGGTGGGATTTGGAAGAGGGGAGAGAGGCACGGCACGCACCCGGTTCGTGCGCTACCTCATTCCACCCTGGGCCTCATGAGGTTGCGCCACTGTGCACACGCCCCGTTTCAAATTGGCTGCTGCACCGCCCGGAGCTCAGTCTGCAACCCCCTCGGAAGCTGTTGGTGGCTGGGACATGAAGGTTTGTCCTCTCACTTTCTTCACTCTGACTATATGTTACAGACCGTCTGTTTTTGTTTAGCATGTTCTCCCTTTCATTTTGCATTTCATGGAACCTGAAGGGACCTTCTAAATCCTTTATAAGCCAGTTGGTGAGAAACTGCCCCTCCCTGGCTGCCTCTCTGGTCTGGGAGCCACAGGAGGTGCCCAGTGCTCCTTGGGGACAGTGTGGTGCTGTGGACCCTGGGACCCACTGGCGGAGGTGTGACTCTCCCCTTTATCTTTCCAGGAGCCTGACGCACCCTCCAAATCCAAATCCAGCAGCTCCTCGTCTTCTTCTACATCATCATCCTCTTCCTCAGATGAAGAGGATGACAGTGACTTAGATGCCAAGAGGGGCCCCCGGGGCCGCGAGACCCACCCAGTGCCTCAGAAGAAAGCACAGATCCTGGTGGCTAAGCCTGAGCTGAAGGATGCCATCAGGAAGAAGCGGGGACGCAAGCCCCTGCCCCCGGAGCAGAAGGCGGCCCGGAGACCCGTGAGCCTGGCCAAGGTGCTTAAGGCCGCCCGCAAGGATCTGGGGGCCCCAGCCAGCAAGCTGCCCCCTCCACTCAGCGCCCCCGTGGCGGGTCTGGCGGCCCTGAAGGCCCACGCTAAAGAGGCATGCAGCGGCCCCAGCACCGGGGCCACCCCAGAGAACCTGGCCAGCCTGATGAAGGGCATGGCCAGCAGCCCCGGCCGGGGCGGCATCAGCTGGCAGAGCTCCATCGTACACTACATGAACCGGATGAGTCAGAGCCAGGCCCAGGCTGCCAGCAGGCTGGCGCTGAAGGCCCAGGCCGCCAGCAAGTGCGGCCTCGGGCTGGACCTGAAGGTGAGGACGCAGAAAGGGGATCTGGGGATGAATCCCCCCGGAAGCAAAGTCCCAAAGACCCCCAGCAGTGGGGCTGGAGAGCAGAAAGGGGGGAGTACAGGGGGCCCCCCGCATGCCCATGGCAGCAGCAAGGTCCCTGCCAACTGCCCAGGCCCCCAGCTGGCACCCACCCAAGAGCTGAGCCTCCAGGTCTTGGACTTACAGAGTGTCAAGAATGGCATGCCTGGAGTGGGCATGCTTGCCCGCCATGCCACCACCACCAAGGGTGTCCCTGCCACAAACCCAGCCACTGGGAAGGGCACTGGGGGCAGTGGGGCCAGCATACCTGCCGATACCAGCAAAAGTGAGAAGCTGGCCTCCATGGTGGCAGCTTTGCCCACCCCTGCTGGCAAGAGGGACTGCCTGAAGGGCAGTGCTGTGCCCGGCGGGCAGGAGGGCCACGTAGCCCCAGGAGAGGTCCGCAAGGCAGCTGCGCTGTCAGAGATGAGCACGGGCGAGGAGAACAGCAGCTCTGACTCAGACCCCGACTCAGCCTTGCTCCCCAGCGCCGGGCAGAACCTGTCGGTGTCTGTCCAGACCAGCCAGGACTGGAAGCCCACCCGCAGCCTCATCGAGCACGTCTTTGTCACTGATGTTACTGCCAACCTCATCACCGTTACAGTGAAGGAGTCCCCTACTAGCGTGGGCTTCTTCAACCTGAGACATTACTGAAGCCCCTCGGCTGCCCTGACCCGGGGCCACCAGCTGCCCGGGTCTTACTCTTCCCTGGTCTCTGGTCTGGCTTTGATAAGTGACTTGCAGCCCACACCTTCTCAAGGGGCTGGGTCAGGATGAGGAGTGGGTGGGCTCCTTTCTGGGCAGGCTTAGCACCGACCTCTTCAAGACTCTGCCCTGCCCTGGGGCTTGGCAGGGAGCTGTATCTTATCCTTGCTGGGGCCATGCTTCCCCCAGGTTCCTACCTCTCATGGCTTCCGTTTCACCTCACGAAATCTGGGTGGCCACCTGTGGCTCAGGCTGACCTTTTTGAAAAGAGCAGGTTTCTTAAATACGGCCGGTCCAGTACGTCTGCTTTGTCTGGACTGCCCCTGCTTGGTCTGCATGACAGTGGCAGCTTTGCTCTCAGTTTCCCAGGGACACAGGTGGCAGAGGAGGGGGCTTCTCCAGGTCCAGCTTGACTTCTCCCCAGAGGTGCGGAGAGAAAGGTGGGGGAAGCATGGCCCAGCAGGACTCCTCCAGGGAGGTATCCACTGTGTGTCTCTGCCTGGCGACATTTGTTAGGAAATGGGGTCAGGGTGGAGCCGAGCTCCTCCCCTCGAGCAGTGCCTAGGCTGTGTGACGTAGGGATCCTGCCCTGACCACTGAGGGCTGGGGCCTTGATGTAAAAGAACAGTTGCTGGCAGCCAAAAGGGGGCAAGATGTGGAACCGTGGAGGCTGACTTCAGTGTGATCTCACCTAGTTTCAGAGTAACATTCATAGTCTCCAAGTGCTGGCCCAAACGTCCAGAATGAGGGGAGGTGGCTGGCCCCAGAGCCCAGTTGCACTTGAAGAGCTTCTGGGTTTGGGAGCAGAAGGAACGGGATGTCCCTGCTGCCTTCTGCCAGTCTGTGCCCCTGGGAGAAGTGACCTTGGTCCCCTTCCAAGCCCAAACCTACTCCTGCCTGGGGCCCACCAGAATTCAGCCAAGTTTGGAGGTTCAAGGCTGCTGGGGCTCAGGGTGGGGAAGTAGGCACCACTACGGGCCCAGAGCTCTGGCTGAGAATCACCAGAAGTAAAGGTGCTCAGGCCAAGAGGGAGATTTTGTGAGCAGGCCCCTGAGTGGGCAAGCCTCCCTCCACTGGCTGGAATTTGATTTCTGGTTATAAAGCACTGGCCCAGTTTGCGAGGCCTCTGAACTGCCCCAGGAGCCACTGCAGGTGGGAACACAGGCAGGTGGTCCGTCTGCCACCTGTTGTGTCCGGCCGTCCTACAGACCTTGCTGCAGATCCCACCCACCAAACCTTTGCTCCATGTGTGGAGGGTCCTGTCCCAGAAATGGGAGCCACTTTCCCTGACAATCCCCCCCCCACACCTTTAGCAATATACCGTTACCATTTGGGGAGTGGGATAAAGTCTGAACAGCCCACCTGCCAGAGGACCCCCAAAAGGCCAAATATGCCAGCCTTGGCCTTGAGACTTCACCCCCACACGTGGAGAAAGACTAATACTCAAGATTTTGAGCTCCTTCCCTCAAGACTGCTGAGTCTCAGAGCCACCTTGCATGAAACCTGACCAGTACCAGGATTTCTGAGACATCAGCCTTGGGTAGAGGCTGGCTTGTGGGTGTACCAAGAGGTGGCAGCGGCGGGCAAATCTGGTCTCTTGAGTCTCTGTGATGCCAAAAAGAAATCGGGGAGGGTGGGGCTGTAACTGTGTCTTCTTCTGTTGTTGGTTGAAGCCAGCCAGCAGATGCGGGGCTTTTTATTCCAGCAGCTTTGGTTGCAGGGAGGAGCTGCTCAAACCAACCCAGACATGGAGAGTGAGCTCTGGTTTCCAAGAGGCAGTCTTGCCAGGCTGCAGTCCCCCATCTCCCTAGTACCTCATAGTCCACACCAAATAGGAAGAGATGGCATTTGTGTAGCCAAATTGATCTTAAGTGTGCCTTTGGGGATGGACCCACGTTCATGACTACATTGAGGGCCATCCAGATGCTGCCTCCAGGGCTAGCATGTGGTCTCTAGGCTGGCTGCAATGGGAATGCTGCCCATCTCAGCAGAGCGGAGGGCTGGGGGGTCCCAGACAGCCAGGCTTGAACTGGGGAGTGGGCAGTAAGAGGAAGGGTTGTCCCCCCTGTGCTGTTGTGACAGGAGGGAGAAATTCCAGCTCACTGCACAGCCTGAGAGGAATGGGTCCCCATGCACTGGGCTCTGGCACCAGCCTCTCTCCCTGTCCCCAGGCAGCCAGGCCCTCTCCCTGCTTCCCTCTTAGAGGGGCTGACATCCTCGAGTTTTGCAGCTCCTTTCACACCAAGTACTCTGTTGCCTTAGAGGCTCTGAAGCCAGGCCAACAGCAGCTCCAAGCCCTTGGGGGTAGCCCTGGGGTTCCATAAGCTGTTGGAGAGAAAAGGCTGGCTGAGCTGATTGTACTTGTCACCAGCAGCCAGGTCTCTCCAAACCCTGATTTGGTGCCTTTCTGTTAACCAGCTACTTCAATCCCAAAGTCTGAATCTGCAAACTCCTTTACTCCCAACCGCTTTGCCTTCTTGCTGCGTCCCTTGCGTTTCCTGGTGCTTGTGACCCCCAGCAGTTTGTGTCCAGCAGAGCTTGCGCACCCACGTGCAGGTGCCTGACCCTCTGCTGGAGAGCTGCACCAGATGCTCAGTTGGTCGCCTTATGTTTACCAATAAATAAAAGTAGTACTTTTTATATTTTTATTTGCTGCTATTTGTGTGTGTGTGTGTGTGTAGCTAGGCGTCTGTCACACATCTGACTTAAGTATTCGCTGTTTCTTTATTCCAAAGGGTCCTATGGGAACTGTATCACAGTGTGTATTGGATGGATGTTTTAACTCCTGTCTTTTTATTTTCTTCTGTAGTGGGCTAGAAAGAAGTGGCCAAACTGTCCTCTTCCTTAGAGGTTTTGGCATATTTTCATATATATATATATATTTTTTGGTACCAAAAACAGTGTTCTTTGTTTTGGTTACGCTCAAAATTCTGACCTTGCTAGAGAGAGTTCTGGGCCTAGAGGTTTCATTAGGGTAAAACTTTGGGGGAGAACCAGAGCTTTGAACCAATGCCAGTCACTGGCTTGATTTGTGTTTTTTAATTAAAAAAAAAAAAGCCAAATCATTCATGTATGCCACTTCTAATTGCTTTAAACTATGGCTGTTTGTTTGCTTGCTTAAAAGAGAACAAAAGTGGATATGTTATTGCCCTGGGAAAAAAAGATCTTTGTTGAAACAGGACAGCAGCCCAGCCCCCATATTTAATTAGGACCAACCAGTTCAGGAAAACGCTTCCCCCAGGAAGCCCGCGATGGTTTGGGGGAGGGGGTGGGCGGCTGAGGGGGCTGGGGGAGAGGCCATGCCTCGGTGACCAGTTTCCTCAAGTGCATCTCATACTTCTGTGGGGTTCTAAGATTTTGGAAAACTAACAGTAGCATAGGTTAAAAAAAAATTTTTTAGACATGTTAATTTATTTTGCAGGGGAAGATATTAGCAAATGGTGTCAGAAGATTTTGGTCTTTGTTAATTCTTAGTATATCAATAAATATTTTTTTAAACTTTTCAGCCCGGTGTATGTCACGTGTGATGCCTGGAAACACAACACACTCTTCACTTTACCTTTCTTGAGGCAAAATATTCATCCGGACATGGACTGAAGTGTGGCACAGAAAAAATCGAAGACTTTAGGAAAGTCTTAATCCTGTTCATGGAATGCAGAAAAAGATGTTTTTCTAAGCAAGGGATGGGGTTTGCTTTTAAGATTGAGTCCCTGCACCTGCAGTTCACAACTGAGGGTGGTGGGGCATCCCAGTGGACATATGGCAGAGTGGAGACAACCTTGGTTGTCACATTGGGGGTTGGATGTTACTGGCATCTAGTGGGTAGAGACCAAGCATGGTGATAAAACTCCTATGGTGCACAGGAAGCCCACCCCCCCGACACACACAATGATCCTTCTTGGGACGTCTGTGGTGCTAAGTTTGAGAAACCCTGGTTTAATGGAAAAGATAGGAAAAAACAAACTAATAAAATAATGGGAGAAGTCAGGAATGCTGCAATATATAACGTCCCTTTGAGGATGGCCAGTTTGCTCACTTGGTTAGGGTGCAAACAGATAACAGCAAGATCACGGGTTCAGATCCCCAAACCAGCCAGCCACCAAAAATAAAGTCACTTTAAGACATCTCCTACATATTTAAGGTTAAAGGAAATCAAGCCTCCCCGCTCCCACACACAGACCCTGTATCTAAAGATACCGTGCTGGAAAGCTACTCGACTCCTTGAATCCACCACATGTGGTAACACTTTAAAAGAACACAGCTATAAAATTCCAGGGGAGTTGCTGTGAAGCTCAAGCAGCTTGGAGTCAGAGGAGCCACTGCAATTCCTAACCCATGGCTCATAATACAGAGATGATTTGCTTATTATATAACCTTCCCTGGTCCTTTAAGGTTTGCATTACCCTCAGCATGAATTTATTCATAAATCTCAGCCCCCAGGGAGAATGAGCTTCCTTTGCAGTGAAGAAGGAAGCTGGGCCTAGAAGTTGTGGCCACTGGTTGAAGGCTAGCTGGGGCGAAGGCGTGAATGTTTTAGTTCAGGAGCAGGTTCCCACTACAGATAGCAACGAAACCCCCAGCTCTACCCGGCTCCAGAAGGGCCTGCGAGTTCGAAATCAGATTCTTGCAGAGACGCTGCTGGTGTGTTTTCTTTCGTTGCCTTCTGGAGGCTCTAGCTGTTTTGTTTTGGAGAGGGTGGGCAGGGGTGATCCCAGCCGTCCTGTCCTCTGGCTTTTGAAAGCTGCAGAAAGGGGTTGGGAAGGACCAGGAGAGAGCAAGCTAGCCAAGCAGGAGCAGGCGCTGTGCCCCCAATGGCGAGGCAGGCTTTCTTTCCTGAGAGCCCATTTCTACCCAGAGTCAGCCAGAAGGGCGCGGGGGCCTTGGCCCACACTGGCCTTTGTTAGTTTCTGCGCTGCTGATCTGATCGCCTAATCCACCGCCTTCCCAGA